AATCATCAACTGATTGTTTTGTAAGGTTGATCATGCACTCTATAAACGCAAATCACTAATTATGATACACATTTTTAATCAAAAATCACAACCCATCCACACATATATTTTTAACAATCAATCATATTTAATAATTATTTGACTAGTTAAAAAAATTCTGGCTCCCACTTGGTGCATTACAAACTTTGGAATAGGCATGGGAATTCACTTCCATTACCATTTTTTCCTTCAAAATGAGATCTGAATCAGAAAACAGAAACACTTGCATGATTCAAGGACAATGTACATTTCAGGTGAATTTCACGCAAAGTCTAAAACACTAAAGTCATACTCCCCCTCTTTGTGTTTAAAAGTAAGGCGGGACAAAATTTCACGCAAAATAATTTGCTTGCATGAAGTGATCATTGGTTTGGAAGAACAATAACTATTGGCGTTTTGTGGATGGGAGCAAACAATCATACACGCGCACCATGCGTGACGTGATACCGAGCTTATGTCCAGTTTCGAGTCCTGGCTTCGCCAAATCAACAATGTCCTGTCTTAAACTGACAAGACCAAAAAAGATAAAAAATAAATAAATAAATAAATAAAGAGTCATGCTGCTTGAAGGACCAAGAAATAAAAACTGAGGGAATCGTGGAAGGAGAACTGTACAAAGATAAAACTGGATACAGTAAGAAAGACACTAACCATATCCATTCACCCGTTGTCTTGGCATGTCTCTCCACCACACAGTATAGGGAATCAAGAAAACACAAAGCCAGGCCATACATGCACTGTGCATCGTTTTCCTGCAAGATTTGACCAAAAAGAAAATAGAGAATTATTCTCCGGTAACCAGCAGAGAGACTTTGTTCGAATTGTTTGCAATTTTTTTTTCTTTTTTTTTTTTGTTTTTCTGGTGTTGAGAACTGAGATTACTCTGCTGCACTAGCTTAACTGAGGATGAAGTGCTTTAATCAAATGACAACTATACCCAGTCGTAGAAAGCTAATTTCTTAATGACATTTGTCACAATATAATAATGGAAGCACGCATACCAATCCTTGATCTTTGCAAATCTGGAACTGCATTATAGCTCTCTCAATTTCCACTAGCAGTAGCCTTCTCTGTATACGAGCAATTCTTCCCCTGCCTTCAGCTCGGGTATCCTAATTCAAGAAGTCAGATTTTCTTAGTATGACTTTAGATTTAAAACCCAATGCTGATACCGACATACCTCCAGCAGAAAGAGAAAAATCATGCTCAACAAAATGCATGCTGCCCCCAATAGTGGATTGATAAAATCTTGCATATAAAATGATGTCTTAAACCATGGTGATCCAAAGATAGTTTCCTAACTTTACAATTTTGTTTGGATAATTATTTTAACTTTTCAATTATTAGATAAAAACAAAAACTGAAACAAGCTGTAGCTACGATGACAATTACTAAAGATAGTAGACATTAGTTGAAAGGGTTTCAGTTATCTTTAAAGACATGAATACCAGAAAATACGTTGCTGCATTCAAATTTTTGACCAATATAGCTAAAGACAAATGCTAACCTGTTTAAACCATGCCCGCACCAACATGAGCAGAATGAGCGAAAGAAAGAACGCGGGCAAAGCAGCTAGAATAGCAAAGTTGATCTCATTGGCCCTCAGGATCTGATCTAGCTCAAGCATTGCTCTATTTTGAAAAGTTCGAACATAAGGGACAAACTTCTAGTTGCAATACATGGCTTAAACAAGAAGATACAGGACAAAGTCACTTACTCTTCAATATCCAGTTTTAGCTTCTGAACCTGAATAAAGAATTATATTAGGTTAGAAGACCAACAACTATTGATTTCACTAACCCGAGTATGTTACCTGAATAAGAAGAGCACGAGCAAGTTCTCCACCCACAAGGCCCTGGATTGGATGCATAAGTTCTTTCTCGTACCTGCAAATTTTTGTCCTTTAGTACTAAACACATATGCGCTCTTCGTCGCTAGCAAAGTCAATTTGGTAATCACACATGAACTTGGACCTACATTTGACATCATAAATATATTTTAAATCTACAAAATGGGTAGCCACCAATTCACTACTCAGGAATTGTTTTCAGTTTATAACTTCCTGAAATGCTTATTAGTGGTTTGGAGGGAATTATCCATATCGGATTGTAGCAGGTCAACAAGTTATGATGCTCAAGGAACCGTAATATTCTCATACTTGGTTTGCTGAAGGGGTTTAGGCATGAAACATAAGAACATGTAAGTGGTGCTGTAATCGAACCAAACGAGCCGAGCTAGAACATTTCAAGCCTGTGTTTGATTGTGTTCGAGCATTGTTCGTGTTTTCGCTTATTATTAGAATAAAACTTCATGTCCGAACTCATTAGTCAAAGTTGAAGTCTGTTCGTGTTTGAATAATTTAGTAAGCAAGTTTCGCAATCGGTTTGATTAAATCAAGTTTAGTCGTCTGCGATGGTTTGTGCTTAACAATAAAAAAATATAAATTATTCAATTTACAAATTTTTAAAAATATTACACATATAAAATAAATAAATAATAATATAATAAATTATGATCGGGAACATTATCAAACGTTTGTGAAATTGCTCGATGAGAAAAACGGGCGTAATTTTCTGTCGGGGCTTGGCTCGATTAACAAACTAACGAGCTTTATTCGACCTCAAACTAGCTTTTGTTCCTGAATGTTCCGTTCGTTTGCGGCTCTATAGTGTAAGTGCCCCAAACTAGTTTGCTTGGCAAGTGGTTACAAATAAAGAAAAACTTAGCAACTGAAACAGAAGTCATAAACAAATGAAATTAAAAATGTTCTACAGTCGAGAAAGACAATGAATATGAAACCAAAAAGTTGATCAAAGGTGCATTTGACTGGTGCAAGAAATAAGTTATGATTAGAGATCCTGGTCCACAAAATATAGATCTATATTTCTAATCTGTCTAGATGCAATAGGAGAAAACTGGTCTAAGCCATCTCAATTAATGTACAAAAGAGCAAACTAGTGAATATTATTACTTTTCATCTAAAGTATTTTTACTGTATTTTGGCTTGTAATTCTATCTAATCTACCTTATCCTACAAGTATTTGAAGCAATTGTAAGGCACTAACTGAGTCTCTCGGGACATAAGATGTTTCTAAATAATAACCTCAAAAACTTGTATAAATCTTCCTTATGAGGTCATAAAAAGTGGCTTATAAGGAGTGCATCAAGTTTCATTGTTATTTAAGTGATGCTCGCGTATTTCTTATATATTAGAAAATGAAATATTACCTGGTCATTACAATTTCAAGCATTTCCTGGTCAGATGCATTTTGTGGAAATTTTTTACCTACTGCCTGCTCACTGAAAGCTAGCAGCATTCTGTGAACAGAAAAAAAATTGATTTCAGGTGGAATAAAAGTCAAGATAAAAGCAGTGAATATACAATAAAATAAATATACTTAATATGTGTGTGTGTGTGTGTGTGTGTGAGAAGATAAAATCACATAAACCAGAAAAGGAGATAGCTAAGCATGGCAGAATCATATTCCAGCATAATAGCACAAAAGCACAGGACCCAACACATGTCACAAAGTAATTATCTAAAAACAAACAACAAATTCGTGATAGAAGTTGCCACATTAAAATCTGTTAACCTGATACATCATTCTTCCAGATGAGAAAATTTCGGATTAAAGATGCACGACATACGGCCAATTATGTAGACGGTTTTGTCAAGAACTAACATCTTCAAGGTAAGTTATCAAAATGAGCTTGTAATAAACAGAGAAACTGGCAACTTAAAAAGCAGAAAAAGGTTAAAGACCCGTTGTTGAACCTCAAAGTAGAAACTCTCATAAAAGGCAAAGCTTCTGTGTAGTACAACAAACAGCATGACATTTTTATTTAAAACAATAAGATATGGCAAGAAACAATCACCTATTTCCCAATAAAGATGAAAGTGCATATTTAAGTACATAATGGGTAGCAAGTTTCAGATAACTCAGTAAAAGAAAATTTAATTTGCCAAGATTGAACCAGCTAACCTATGTAGGGAGTCAGCAGTCAATTGCACTTCTTCACGCTCCATTACTCCTTTTTGCCTTTTCCTGAAAGTCTCAAAAAGCTCATCCCTAATTGCCAGAACCTAAAATGCAGTATAAAAACAACAGAAATGGGCATTGGATCACAATAGATTAAGATAAATGATTACCCAAATGCCCCCAAAAGTTTTTTACAAGTGACTTTCAGTAACATGCAAATTTCTAGTACACATAAAAGTATGGAAAGATCTCAATGTATCATAATGACAATCTCAACGAAGTCAGAAACAGAAGGCTTAGAGTAGTAAATGAAGAAGAGTTGGTCAATATAACAATCCAATGAGTCATGGAGTGAAGGGTTTAAAAAAAATAATAATCAAAGCAGATACAGATCCACCTAGTAATGAATCAGGCAACAACAGGCACTCACCAGTCATTCCAGTATCCTTTCATCAGAAGCAACTTAAAGATTGCATTTAGTTAAACAACTGACACATCATAACATAATGTTGAGAAGAAATTCCTTTCTCCTAATCAAGGTTCTTTCATCTACCATAGAGGGCCTCAGACATCTTGCTCAGTAACAAGAGTCTCAATCGCTAGCAATGTCAGCTAAGTTTAAGCATGAAGATCATGAAGCATATTTCATATTGCAGTGGACATGAATCACGCTAATGAATCTGATCATAAAAAAGTTAGGGAGAGTCCAAGGAATCATACTGGCTGCTCAACATGATCGTTCCAAAAGCTTATAGTTGACTCCTTTGCTTCGTGAATCCAATTGTCAATATCAGAGCTTCCCATTAACTTGCTATGGCGAAGAAGCCATAATGAACAAACAGTAATTCCAAGGGCCCCGCAACTATATTGCACCCAGTGCAAAGTTACTTTCCTTGGCTTGCGATGTTTGAAAACCTAAATGGGATTGAAACATGTACATATATGAAGAAAAAAGTAACTCAGTCCGCAATAAAACTGCAAGAAGATTGTCTAGTACAGTTAAGAAGAATTCATGCTAGAACAGTATCTCATTCTAAACCCAGGCTGCCTCATAGGCATTGATGTGACTGGTATGAAGGAAAATATATGCACTAATCCATGACATGGTAGCATAATGACAAGAAAATATTATTAGTGCAAATCAAATGTCAAACTACCATATGTAATGCATCTGCTAACTTTGGACATTGACATAAAATAAAGCCACACTCTCCATGAAATTGACAGCAACTTAGCATAAAAACATTGCAAGGGCACAAGTACATTTCAGTGAACATTCAACAGTCAATAGAAGCAGACTAAGTCCTACTTTACACACGAGTCCCAGATTCCGACAGATATAAAATTCCTTCTAAACAAGATAACCATTTGGCGCCATTACAGTGACATGGATACCTGTAGGGAATAAATTTTGACCACCACGTGAAATTGAATCCAAATAATGGCTCACACATGCAACAGGATATGGAAACCAACTGAACGATGAAAGAGAACTAGCAATACATAATAATATGAACATGTTTGAGAAAAATTTCCTTACGAGCATGGACAAATAGGAATCCAATCTCTGTAGATTTTCATAAATTAAGTTGACAGCATCTGTGACCTCACAATTCGTCCACTGAGAACCTTCCTGGTTCACTTCAGGAAGTTTTACAAACATCAAAGGAAGGGAATAGCTTCCATCCACCGATGAGCCAGTCTGAAACCCATTGCATGATAAGATTTTGATGGGAAAAAGCAGTACAAGGAGAACTACATCAGCATCTTTAAAAGTCATTCGCGTCTCATATAACAGAGTTACAGAAAGATATATTTGGGAAGAAGGTAGTGGCTATGTATCTAACAACTACCTGACGATTTGCATGAAAATGGCCAATCGATGCCTCCAATTTTAGAAAGAGGTCATTGATAGCAACCAATAACGAGGGCAATGAATTATGTGGATCCTTAACCAAATCCTCCCCGAATTTGTCAACCTCCATATAAACCTATGTCCATGGGCAGTTAACGAAACTTAGCCATGAAAGCATAGATGCACAAATAAGAAATAGTAGGCCAAAATAATTTTTCAAGAAAAAAACACAATAAGTAGCCAAGTTCTGTTCGAATTGCTAAATTGTGAAGGAGAATTAGAGAAAACAGGCCAAATCTACTCTTCAAATCTTTTTATGAAAAAAAATAGATAAAAGAAGGCTAAGCTGAATTAATAGGACACCAAGTGCTTGCAAGGAAAACCTTAACAAAACTCACTTATCAATACATGACCATTTTTAATAACAGAGACGAGTCTCAATGTTATCTGGTCAAGGGGCCGATATATAACCAAGATAATTTAGTATGTTGACTCACGGAATACTCTTCAAATATATAATCTCTTCATCTGTTGCTTAGCTTATCCAAGTTATATCATCTTAGGGCTTCTCTAGATTCAACTTCTGGAAGTTAGATGTTATCTAATCTTCTTAAGTTCTTTTAAAAACCAACACATCATATGAAACACTAACTAACCTTCGCCAGAAATGTAGCCATTGAATATCGTAGACTATTCAATACGCTGATCCTCTCAGATATATGGGAAGATGCTGAACTATACAGCTTTTCCATGCTAGAACCATCAGCAAGAGAATCACGTATCAGTTGGAGAGTTCCACTAAGAAATGCTCTAGGGCCCCGTTCGCATATCATAAAGTATGCTTTCTGACCTCTAGAACCCTGACATATGAAATTGCATCAAGTTAGAAAGAAACACCAATATTCTGAACAAATCTAAATTTCACCAGGGGAACACACACTTATTCATGCTGACCTCAGCTCTGGACTGCCAAAACCCCAAATTCTTTTGGATGCTGTGCAAATTTTGAAGTGTGTGCCCAATAATATCCTCCAACACCTCAGTGATTTTACATGTCTCGGATGAAATCCTGTAAGTGGAGCATTTAACATAATTCACAACCATAAATCCTGGTTCTATCTAATCCAATGAAATGAACAATAAGTATACTCCAATCATTCCCCAAGATAATCACTCCATGTTGAGAAAGAAAAAAGATAGAGAAAAATAAACGCACACACGCACACGCACACAAATAATCCCTTTTTCCACATTATTGCATAGAAGACTCATAAAACACGAACAATTTTTTTTCCAATACTCCACAAATATAGCTTAAAAACCAACACATTCCTGCCCAAAATTTCCCAGCAAAAAATACGTAGACAACAGATTGTTTACGACAAAATGATTTCACCCTGCTTCCACGAAAGATACGAGAATCAGAATTAGCGACAGAGAATTCATACGCAGCAGACTGGTCGAGCGACGCAGTGGTGGCAGCGGACGGCAGAGGCAAAGGGAGGCAAGTCTTCCGGCGACGCCGTTTTGGGCTGCCATAGACGCCGCGGATCCTCGAGAGCAAAACGTCCACGGAACTTACGGAGATAGGAAAGAATGAGAGCAGGCGGTTGAAGAGGAAGTTGGAGTAGAAGGAGACCAGAGCTTTCGCGTCGAACGGCCGCAATGGAGGATCACTCCTCGGAGAAACTTCCATTGTTGCAGCACGCCAAGATTGATCGACGTTGATTCTAGAATTCTCTTGTATCTGTTGCGTGTTGTGACTTGTGATAGAGGAGAGCAAAAGTGTGTAGTATTGTGTGTGACCGTGTGTGAGAGAGATGGGAAAACCGGCGGGCTTGGAGAGGGGTTTTTGCGGAGATGTTGAATCTTGACTGTGGGAAGGGAATAATTTTTGTAATTTGGTCCTTAAAAAGTAAGGGCTTCTACAGTTTTGCCTCTATAATTTCAAACATTTTCAGTTGAGCTTTGTGGTCGGCCTAACCATTAGGCGTGTCCCTCGTTATATTTTTTTAGCAAAAATAAATACTTATGTTATATAGTCATATTTTTTTATATTATTTTTTAGATTATGAAATTTTAACTTGAAAGTATATCAATATGTTCAAAAAATATGGTTTGTCTAGCGATTAAGTTTGCCTAATAATAATCTTGCTAACTCGTTTAAGATTTTAAGAGACATTTTAAAAATTTTAAAACTTGAGATTTTTTTCAAAATATATATATACTAGTACGACACTCGTGTAATACACGGGTTGTTTAAAAAAATATAAAATATAAAATAATAGAGAAAACACATGTTGTCGTATAAAAGTGCAAAAATAAAAAATACCACATTTTGTTTATAAATATATTAATTGATAAATAATTTTATTTTTTAATTAATATTAAAAAAATTATTATTGTTATAAAGATAAATATAATTTAAGTTCAAGTAAGCTTTCGAAGCGTGTGAGCTAGCCATTTAAGCTCAACACGTTTTGAAATTATATTAAGGGGGGTGAATATCTCTTACCCGTGCACTTTATAAGATGCAGTTATTATATTTATGACATTTATAACAATCAGATAAATGACATGCACGCATAAGTGTTAGTATGAAGGTATAAAACTAATTATAAATCAATAATTTGTATGAATACAAAATCAAAATAAATATTTAAAAATATGAATTTGTAAACATTAAAAATATACACTATTCATGAAAAAATTACATCGACCTAGAAATATTCGTGAAAATAAATATTCATGAATAGTTGTTACAGTTCAACAAAAAAGTCTTACTTTCCTATATATAAATTATTTAAAAAAAATCGCCCCCAAATCCATCGTCTTCCCCAAATCTCTTCCTCGGTCTTCAACTCTTCTCGCAGGTCCACTCCCTCAGCCGGCGTCCGTCATCGTCGGCGGACGATCTCCTCCGCTCATCCATGGAAGCGGCCCTCCCCGTCCTCTGTTTGCTGTCGCTGAATTAGGGCTAGGGTTAGGCAGAATCAATTTCTGTTTGAGGCGGCCGGAATTCAGTGGTCTGGGGCATGGCGGGGTGGGGTCGCGCGTGGATGAAGCTTGTGTCACCGAAATCGGCTGTGATTGGAGCGCCGCTAATCGGCCTGTTCTGGAGGATTGCCGTCGGTGGTCGTCCGGTTCCTGCAGGGGTCAGGTCGCCAGCTCCGCGTGGGTGTGGGGATGGCGGGTCATGGCTTCTTCTTGTGGGTTGGGTTGATTAGGGTGGTTCGTTTGGGCTGGTTGGAGTGGCTAAGCTGGAAAGCTGCTCGTCCCCTTTCTCCCCTTGCTCGATTTCCGAGTTTTGGGGGAGGCCGACGGTCCCCGGAGTAGGCTAGTGGTGTTAGACTGCCTCGGTTGGGTGTCGGATCGGCTAGTGGTGTTAGCCGGTGGGGTGGTGTTCGTAGTTTTCTGTGGTTGGAGAAAGGGTCGTGTTCTCGGTTTGCTTTTGCGGCTCCGGTCATCGTTTTGCTAGGCCTTATGCAGTGGTGGGCGTGGTATCGGAGTTTTGAAGCTCTCCTCGGAACCGACTTTGTCTACTGTCCTTTTCGGATGTACCTGCTGCGGGAGGATGTTATGTTCGTGTGTTTTGATAGTTCCCATTTTTATTTAGTTTTGTATCTGTGTTGCTTGAGTCTGTGTTGTTTCTCGTTCGGTGTTTTGGTTTTGGGCCGTTGGCCCCTGTTTAGTTGTATCGTGTTCTTGGTTTGGGCCGTTAGCCCCTGTGAACTTGAGTGTCAGCTTGATTTCCCTGTGGGGGCCAGACACTCAGGTATTACCCTGTTGGGGTCTTTGTGTTATTTTTTTAGTGTTTTGTAATGTGTTAGTCTTTAGTGTGCTGCCGAGTATTCTAGCATTGCTAGCTTTCGGATTTAGGCGGTCTTCGGACCTGTCCTCCCAGTTTTCTCAGTCGTTGGTTGTATCAGCTAGTGGCTGTAACTTTGCACATTTGTGCGCTTTTATATAAATCCTCTATCGTTTCGGCCAAAAAAAAAAAATTATTTAAAATATTTGTATAAATATTTTGAAAACATGGTAAAATATTTTCCTGGATGTTAAAATTGAATTTATTAACATGTTTGAAATTTTCACCATCCTTTTTATAACATTCTAATTTTATAGATATCTTTTTTTGATAATATTTTTTTGAATAATTTTGAAATATATTATAATTGTCTTGATAATCATAGGATTGAATTTGTATCCGTGATAAATCAAGATTTTTTATACATTATAAATCATAATTTTTTATACATAATAAACCAAGTTGTTGTAGTTATATTTTTATATGTAGGGTAAATTTATTACGAATATGGTTATTGTAGTATTTATTTAAAAAAATAAAATAATATTAAACATAGTAAGAATATATTATAATATTGGTATAAGATTCTTAACACGTGTAATTTAATTAATCAATGGACGTTATATCTTAAACATAGAGAGGTAATTTGATTAATTAATTTAATGAGAACGAATTATTAGTAATTCAGAGCTAAATGTGGAGTGCAGTAATATTACTCTAGTGAAATGTTTCATTATTTATTCAATTAAGGAATAGGTGTAGACATAAAGTCTTCTAAAATGTTAACAAGTTGAAAGACATAAGGACTTCTAGAAGTTAATACACCAAGTCCCACACCTCATACATATTAATGCCATCTAATTTTTAGTCTAAGAGAGAAAAATTGAGTTTTATATATTAGGAGGTTCCGGGAGTTTCGTTTAGTCGCACCACCAAGACTACTCAAAATAGGTATAGAGGTAATACATCAGAAGATCATAAGGTTTAATTTTTTGCATTCCGGCGAATTTATTCATCACTGGGAACACGACGCGACTAGCCCTCGGCCATCGACATCAATTCCCGACGAGATGATGAAGATCGTGTATCTTGATACTTGGTTTTGCTTCATAGGATACGAAGACCGCCTCATTCTCGGCGATAGGTTGCTTCAAAGGATACTTGGACACCTCCTTCTTGGTGATAGGTGAGACAACTCAGACGTAAATCCATGCCAAACTCGAGCTTATAGCGAACTATGTGATGAAACGCCCTTTTCGGCACAAGGGTTTTGCGATAAAACTTAAGAGAATTCGAACACAAGAATTTTGGTGAACAAAGTTCAGTTTTGTTTACTTAATTGATGATTAAAAACGTTTGGAACATTAGGTATTTAAAGGTAAAAACTTAGCCCCATCCTATGGGAAATAAACCAGTAACTTATAGAAAATAAATCAAGTAATGATCCTAAAATTACCTAACTTATTCAAACCCTAAATAACCTAGGAAAAGTAGTAAAACATGTGGGAAATATCCAGGAATAATATAGAAAAGATTCAACCCAAAAGCCTTCTAGAAGCCTCGAGCCTTGGTTACCACGCATCATTGCGTGCAAGCGCACGTTGTTCCTTCATGCACGACGCCCGCGCGTTTGCGCACCGCGTCTACGCACATCGCCAACCCCTGTCGCACACAACCTTTTAGTGCGCGTCCCGTCCCTGCGCCTGGACGCCACGTTCACGGGCACTGCGCGCCCGCACGCATGCTGCTGCCCCGTGACGTCTCTCGCGCCTGTGTCTGGTCTTTCGCCCGATTGTCCGCGAATGTCTTCGCCCATCTCACTGCCGCTCCCATCGTCACCGTGCGTGTTTGTCGGGCTACATGCTGTCTTACGCGGGTCTCGTGCGGTCGCACGTAGTCTGTCCCAGCGACTCGCACGTTGTCTCTCTCGTGCTCTCGCGGTCCTGCAGTGCATGCACGTTGTCGCGCTGCCCAGTGCACGCGCTCGTGCTGCCATGCTAGGACATTCTCGTGTATGCGTGGACATGCTTGCCTAGGCTCGCGACACCTTTCTTGTGCTCGTGCGCCTCGCATATGAGCTTGAACACATCTCTGATGCCATTCACATGCCTTTTTGGACCTTTGTTTGACGTTCTCGGGTCGTCTTGGTCATCAATCAGTCTCGTCCTCAGAGGTCAAAACCTCCATCTTTATCATTCACGCCCCCTTTGAATATCTTTGTCCCTAAGGACTCGTCATCGACCATCAACTGGGGCATCTCGTCCTTCACTTCGACTCCATCGGCCTCATCGAAATAAGTATCAAAGATAGGTGGCCCTTCGTAGTCTGTTGGTCTTTGCTCGACCTCGCACTCGTCGTCTTCGTCTAGGTAAATATCGAAATTGGTAGACCCTCGTACTCAAACGACATGTGCTTGTCCTCGAACTTGGTGGTCTCGATGTCTTCGAAGTATTTCGGGAATTCAAATGAGAACATGGGTTCCTCATTGAAAAATCCCAAAAAGTCGAACGAAAATTCGCTCCAAACCTCCGACTCCTTTTTAGACTTGCTTAGGGCCTCGTCGAGCCCTTGCTGGTTGCACCACCTTTCTAGGTGAGTGTTCAACACATTCACGGACCTCAGTTTCTCGTCCATCCTCTCCAATGTATCCACCATTCGATCTAATTGTTCCTCCTCCTCCTTGGTGCGTTCACAACCCCTATAAATAAAATATTTCTTTATGTCTCGATTTTTTTAAACTGATCAGATCCCCTCATGACCTAAGCACTCTCAATATATATATATATATATATTAGTGGTCTACCGGTTGTGCACGCACAGCCGGCTCTAATTTAATCTTTAATGGATGTCAATTTTGACGAACATTTAAATTATCATTTTGATTGTTTGAATTTTTTTAAAATGTTGTTGTTCATTCTTATAATGTTGTTGCTCATTCTTATACAATTGCAATTTTTATTCAAGACATTTTAACATCATATTACAAAAATGTTTAGCCCCGCATTCTTAAAATATATTGAAAATTATTTAATATTAATCAAATATAAAGAATTATTAACTTTGTAAACTGAGTGTAGTTTATGCGCAATACCATTGTTATCAAAGAAACATCATCAGAATATGGAATTAAACTTTATATTGCATTGAATTCAGAATTACTACTACAAAGAAATTCAAGGCATAAACATTTTGAGGTAAACGTTAGAGCGTAGAAATACTCAATGAAAAACTGAAAATATAAGAACAAAGAAACAACTCATACCTAAAAATCGTATCCAAATTTCATCTCCATTATGAACATCTCTTCCATTCACTCGAGGAGTTTTCCTGGTAAGGCAGTCAGTACAGTCAGTACAACCTTTTGACCTGGATTCTCTCTTCTCTTGGCGCCACAAGTAACCGGATCGGAGTTCCTAGCTGCTGATAGCCCGATCAAATAAGTCGTCGTCGACGGTCTCACGAGCTCGAGAGCTCTGTTCAATCTTTTGAGGCCAGTCGTGTCTGGATATCTCGAAGTCTCAGTTACGCCGGTTGGGATGTTCTTGGCATGCTTTGTGAATAGGCCAAATTAATACACGCACAACCACATTTTCCCCAACATTAGCATGTAGCTCTTTAACCTGGGTTGTGAGCCCTTCGAATGCAGCGTCCTGAGGCAGCCTCATCGTGGTTGGTATGATCAAGTCAACTCGTACTTCTCTGTCTTCAATCCTCTCTTGTGGCTGTAACACCACACGGTCTGTTTGTCTGGGCTCTTGCACTTGGGCCATCGCCTCTGCTATAATTCTACTCAGTTTTTCTCGTGAGAGTCTTATAATACGATAATATCTAACGTCCAATTTAACGTGTAACACAACAATTTGCAACTCCTAACACGATAATATCTAACGTCCAATTTATAACATAATCAACTCTAACATATAACATAGTAATTTGTAACTCCTAACACGATAATATCTAACGTCCAATTTATAGCAGTATCAAGTCTAACATGTAACATAATAATTTCTAACTCCTAACACGATTATATCTAACGTCCAATTTATAACATAATTATTCTGAATATATAACATAATAATTTATAATAGTATTTAAAAAAAAACGTCCGGCCAGTCGAACTGGACGGACCGGTCGCGACCGGCCGTCGTCGCCGGACGTCTTTTTAGGCGTCCGGCCAGCCGGACGCCTTTTGGACCCTCCGGTTTTGGAGGTCGGACGGGCTAAAAGTCGTCAGGTTTCGCCAGCCGGACAGAAAAATTTCGTACCTCAGAATTTGAAGACATTTCGCCGTACACTTTGCTTTGAGATGTTTGGAAAAATGAAAAGGGCAAAATCGTCCAAGGGAGGCGGTAACTAGTAATAGGGGGGGCGGTAAATAGTAATGCCCGAGGGAAATTGAGATTTGGATTTCAATGCTTGCAAAATATAAGAAATGATAGAAAAACAAAATAAATTCCAATTTCACTTTTTTTATAAAATTAATTTGTGAATATTGGTTACACTTTCGATTATGTTGATAAATTACAATATTTTCTAATGAAAATATGTGACATGCGTCATATTTACAAGTATTTTGATTGATTGTTTAGTACATTTGGTCGAAGTTTATTATGAGAATGACATTGTTTTGATTTACTAAAATATAATAGTGGTATTCTTATCGTGAGTTATTATAGGAAAATGCCCGAAAATAAATAAAAAACAAGTGGGGATTGAAAATTAAAAAAAAGAAGGCGAGCATCAGATTCAAGAGGATCCACACGAGTCGTGGTCGTGTGAGGTGGGTATAATTCAACACGAGTTCTATGGAGAAGGAACTCGAGACCACCAACTCTACAGTCGAATGAACCTTCTTGTACCACGTTTGTTTAGGTTGATCCGGAATTGCCGCCGTTCCAAAAAAGTTGTTTTAACAGGCTCAAGGCTGAAAAGGGTAAGTTGCACGAGCAACTAAAGTGCCAAAATGAGATGGAGCAACTGGTATCGGCTAGGCTTCAGTTAAAATTTGCCGAGATATGTGCATTGGAAGATGAGTAGAATGCCTTGGAGAAGAAATTGGAGATTGAAGAAACAAAAATTGTTGAACTGAAGTTGAGACTTGAAGGTGTTGATCGTGAATCTTGAAGTTTGGAGAAGGTCACATATATGAAGTCTACATTTTGCATCATTGTTTGCTTTGTTTCACTGTATTGTTTTTTCAAGTAGGGTTGGATAGAATTAACTATAACGTTGTGCTTTAATTCAGCTCCACTTATGTTTTGTTTATTAAATGATATTTTTGTGAAACTACTTTTGTGAACCGGCTTTTGAATTGACAGAACATGTACGTTTTGAATTCAATGTTGTGGAATCAGACAAGGAAAGTTATGAAATGTGTGTTTTGAATTGACAGGACATGTGTAAAAATGCAGTTGATTTGACTAATAATGGTGGCAGGTCTATAGGAAGGCTTGATCTTTTCCTTAAAGCTAAGTTGATTTAACTAATAATGGACTTCACGACCATGTTCAACATCATGTGTACATGTTTGGGATGCCAAAAATAATTGTGAGCCGTATCAGTGAGGTTTATGCATATCTAAGTTGGCCCGCTAAAGAAGATTTGTTACATCTTCTAAACTTGAAAACAAATTTGCAGTCAAGGACTTTTTATGACCATTCACATTAAATTATTTGGTAAAAAAATTCACAGTCAAAATGACATGCTATGACAACACCTGCTACGATAATACAATCCAGGTCTACAACATTGTTCATCTTTTCTGCAAAGGTGACACGCTATGACAACTTATGCTATGATAATGCTGAATGGTTATGTGTCTTCTTGACAGAGCATGCTACGATAATACAGGTCTAAGGCTAGGTTTCAGCTTTTTTTCAAAGCTGAGCTGATAGGTCCTTATCATCTTCTTCAATTTAAATAAATTACATGCATTATTGGTCCTGTGGCATTAAACTTATTTGCATTATTGGTACTGTTGAAAGAGCATGCGCACATCAGTTAAGAGACCATCAAATGCATTATCGAGTCATCTTTTTGTTCATAGAAATCATATTCGAAGGGACAGGCTATGACAAGTCACTACACATGTCTAGAGGTAGCTATAAGCTATTTCTGCAAAGCTGAATTGAATAGACAAGACGGACATGAAGACCATATCCCTTGGTCCAACCATTGAATGCATGATTGATCTGGTGCACGAAATTTTGCTATTTAAACACCATAACGCATAACAAGTATTCCACAACCGTAGAAGGAAGTAGTCAAATATTACCAAAGTTATAAAAAGTAAGAAAATTTCTAAGTCATAAAATTGCTATGGCTCCTGATTTTGGTTTAGTGCAGGCAGACTATTTGTACGACCTACATTGGACACCAAAGTTTGATGAGTTTCTTATCGACTAATTACTTAAAAATAAGCTATGTGGTATCTTTATCCTAATGCAGATAATACTGAGTCCATATTTGGTGCTACGCGAGCATTCAATGCGTGGTTTCGCAAGAGTTTCACGATGGAGTACATTGGAACCTGCGTTGGAGTTTTGGAGAAACGACATGATGTTTTCACGGCTCTGAAAGGCAAGGATGGTGTTCAATACGACGTCGGCCAAAACAAGTACCATGCTTCGGGCAGCACTTGGGATGAAATGCTAAGGGTGAGTTCTGTCGAAAATAAATGCATTTTCATTTGTTACACCAACACTAGAGTTGCAAACTAAATTATATTTATTTTTTCCCGTAGTGGGATGACTTTTCCCTGGCGTACATGACGGAAGGTGATCCCCAGCATAACAAACTTGTGGAGTTGTTTCACGAGGAGCCACCGTACGTAAATCCTTTGTAGTGGTGCATTTTGTCTAACAACGACAACGAAGGCAATAAGAATGGCAGTAAGGGCCGCGGCAAAGGTGTTGAAGTTATCGATGTGGAGGTGTACACTCCAAACCGTGGGCCACCGAGTAGGTTGGTTCCCTACCCCGTTCGAACTGACATCTCCTGTAAGAAACAACCACCGCGTCCGGTGAATCAGCTCAGAAACGACAACTCCTCTCACGGTGCACATGAACCGGAAGAAAATTATGTATCTACTGCATGTTCTGCCACTCCTATGGACTACGCGCATGATTGGCCATGGAATTAGCTTCGTCACTATATCCTTCCCATCTATGTTTGTTCTTGCTTTGGTGGTGTATCAGTATGTTAGTTGTAGTTGGTTGTTTGTTTTATGGTTATTTACTATGTCTGTTATTTGTTTCGGTGTTGTACCTGTATGTTAGTGCATGTTCCTGGTTGTTTGTTCTGTAGTCGTTCCATTTACAAGATGTACATGTTGTTGTTCCATTGACAAGATGCTCTGTAATGTTAACTGTGGTTGGTGTTTTGTTCCATTGTTCCGGTGCTGTACCCATAATGTTTCATTCACAAGATGACAGAAAGCAAAAAAATTGTCTTAATAAACCAAAAAAACTGATAACACACAAGTCTTTATAATGTGGCATCAAAGACCAACAACCATCGCAAAAATGTGTTAAAATGTTTGTCGTTCATATACATGCTACACACAAATTTCGACCACTCTAAATCGGGGATACCTAAACGGAACCAATGTAAACACCCACTCCGAATCCTCCACAATGCAATTTTCTTCAAAGAATTGGCGCATATCGCTATCTTTCAGCCGCCTCTTACCATGAGATCGGTCTATAGACATTGAATATCGGTCCCCCTTCAACATAAGCACTGCAATGTCTATCTCTGAAACATGTCCTTCAATGTGTGCGTTTCAAAATTGCATTGGTATTGGCTTCACAACTAGAAAAAAATTATTAAATAAGATAACATTTTGTTAAATATGCAAGAACAATGTAGACGAAAAGTATGATGTTAAATCATGAAGCAATCACTTACCAACAGTGCACGCTCGACATGAGTTTTTATTTTTTTTTATTTTTATGCTAAACTGGTGTTGTGGAGGCCTCTGAATATCATTAGCCGTGTAGACCTTCACATTGAATGTTCTGAAATCATCTCGTTCAAAATAGATGTAGTACTCGTTACATATATCCTCTGATTGAACATAATATTGCCACCCATTGGCAAAATGCAAAAAAGTCCTTGGGTCGTAATCGAGGCCAGACGGAAGCCTGCAAATGTCCATTGAGTAGCGACGGCCTTCAACAGTTATGAGAGTAACGGGAAAAGGCATCGCGTGTCGCCCAAAATAAAGTTCCGGAACGTTTACGTCCTAAGAAAGTGAAAATGTCATGTTTATAAATAGTACACAACTGAAGTAAGAATTAAAAAATTTATTATTTGTATATCTCTTCCTTTCTTTTTGGTGTTTTTTGAAAGTTATAATCTACCATATCATACCGTGGCCAAGTTTGTGAATGTTACTTTAATATTAATGTGCTTGAATATTGCTTGGATGTTCAAAGTGAGTATGTTGAACTTACCAATGTAGGTTGGTTTGGCATGTCCATAAGTACGTAGAAACAACCCCATGGCGGATCATCCCTATAGATAGACATGGTGAACCTACAAGAAGTG